AATCAGTTATAAGAACAGGACTGGTGGTCAGGACAGTGATTTGCGAGATAGAGAGATAGAGCAACACGCTGCAGAGTTAAACTGCTCGGTAGAAAGTGGTACGAGTGGACAGGGAGAGTAAGCCAGAGAAGGCAGTCAAGTTATTAGGCAAGTTTGGATGAAGTGCTGCTGTTTGGTAGACAGTAATAGTGTACAGACTGGTGCAAGCGTGTGCAAAGAGTGTTGCAGGCCAAAGAGGACAGTTAGACCGAGTTATGAGCCAAGTGTAAGTTAATGGACCGGTTACTGCAAGGTTGTGTTAACGAAAGGTGTAAGCTGATGAGCAATTCAAGTGGGCATTTAAACATCTTCAAACATTCAATTGACAGAGTTTTGTAGCGTATCATCAGTGGCAGATAACGCAATTTGTGTAGAATGACTTTCAAACTTTCAAACTGGAATTAATGCATGTTGCAGTAAAAACTCTTCAATCAGTTCAAACTCAAGCTTTCAAACTTCACGTCACAGAATCAATGTGTAATCATCATGTGTACGACTGGGTAATGCGGGCAATCAGTTCATTCATTCAATCAGCGTTTCAAACTTCTCAAACTGGAGGTGTGGAGGTTCATCAAACTTAAACTCGTTGCTTAAACTGTTTCATTCACAACATCAACTTTTGACATGAGACTGAGCTTATATCGACTCATCTCCTTCGAAAGCAGAAAATGTGAGGAAAGTGTGGTAATGGGTACCGACTCAGTTCAAATCAGAGCAAACGAGATAGAGTGAGAGAGATAGACTTGCTAGGCATTTTTAGCCACGATGAGGAGGAGTAAGCGAGTGAGTGAGATGCAGGTTTAATAGGGACAGTTTCATTCAAGCATCAGAGATCGAGGTTTCAAAACTCAAGGTACGACTCATCGGACACTCAAGCAAAACTTAGGAGTTTGCATTTGGCTGTGCATTAGGTGAAGACTGGACTGGAGACATCCTTACTGGAAGCGAACTTTGTGAGTGTTGTGTTTGGACTGCCTCTGGGCTCAGTGGCCACTGGGTCAGCGTTGTGAGACTGCTTGGCAACTATCAGGCATTTCTGGACACACTTCAAATCTTCAAGTGCTTTTCCGACAATAGGCTGGATAAAACTGCATAAAGCAACTGCTGATGTACTATCATGTACACGGATCTCACGCACACATCTTTCTTTCGGCCGCGACAATAAACAAATCTTCACGCTAGACCTGGTGTGGACAGTATCAATCTGGGCTGCGACAGCTGAGCTGGCAAACTGCGAATATCCGAGAAGAGTAGAGAGAGAATAGAAGAGAGAGAGACCCAATGACTGGCGCTAGCGATGGCAAAGGATGAGACTGCACTGGACTGTTCTGGAAACTGAAGCAGGGAACGACATCTAGAGGCATCAGGACGTACTGACTTGAGGAGATGAACGCTCGAGCACATTCAAGCTGCGGTTGAACTGTGCGATGGCCGATGGCCATATTTGCAGAGGCATGCCTACGTGACGCAATCGGTGGGCGCAAGATTTGCAAGGATTTGCAATTTCAGGATCACATCATCATCATCATCATTCGAACTCTGGGAAATCTGAAAACACTTCAAGTGTGGAGAGGAATCGCGACACCGATTTCTAAAAGCAGGTTTGCGTCTTCGTATGCAGCGCTCGCTAAACTGTGGGCAAATGAGAAAGGAAGAGAAAGAACTCCTGGACATCCCCTGGGCGCATTCGTGGTAATGGAACACCTCGCACTGGAATCAGCAAAGCAGACTCGGCAGAGGACAGAGAACGGCGGCAGCAGAGGTGCGCGCGCGTATCAGACCAAATGAGAGACAAGGACTCTGCAAAATGGACACGAATGGCACTGGCGGCAATGATGTCGCAAATCGATCCTAGGAAATACTCTGGTATGAAGCCCAACTCCGCTAACTGGAAAACTGTTAAGGAACAAAACCTATTCTTTTACAAGAATTTACACAATGATACTTATCTGGTTTAAGTAGTAGTAGTGGTAGTAATTGTAAACCAAAAAACTGGTGCCAGCCAAGAAAGAGGCAAGAAATGCTAAACAACGGAAAGGGAGGAGGAGGAGGACCAGTGTAAGGCGACGGAAAGAAAGGTGGAAAAGAAGATGGCAAAACTTACCCAGAGATCGGCGGCAGGACGCAGGTCTTGAGGTGTCGACCGAGCGACATCAGAAAACATCAGGAACTCAGCAATCATCTCGAGAGAGCGAGCGATGCGAACGAACATTTGGGAACACTGGGCTTCAACCGAATCCGCCAGGAATGGACGGTACACCGCCGGCCGCCGCCATCTTAACCTTGAGCCACTCCGAGAGGAGTACTGCAGAAGGAGGAGGAGTAGGCGAGCCGAGCGGAGGATAAAGACACATCAAGAAAAGGACACGAAACGGACTGGAGGACATCAGAAAAGGGAATGCGTAGTTGGCCTGCTCGGGGATGGCTTATGTAGTTGCTGCTGCGCCTGTGCCTGTCTCGGTGTGTGCTGGCCACTAGCACTGCCTCTCTCTTTCTCTACAGTGGATCCTCTCCACCGAACACCGATCACGTATGCGCGACGTACTTGGCCAACGCAGAGGATACGACGGAGAGAGCACGTTCCAACGACGAGAGAGAGCCACCTTCGGTGCTGTGCTTCCACTGTATCCGGTTGTGGAGAGAAAGAGAAGGCTGTGAGTGAGTGTGCGTGCGTGTGACGTCACTCCCTCCGTTTCTCGGTCGCTACGCAATCTACGAGAAATTTCCAGATGGTGCTTCGGTGCTCAGAGCCGCCAAAAAGCGCCAAAACGGAGGGTGTGGCAAGCAGTGAGGGCCGCGCAGCACAGGGGAAAGGTCACAGAAAACACCGACGGGCCTTAGGGGCCAGAGTGAGCTATTGGAGCAACACTTTCATTAGTTCTCCTTCTCTCTCTCTCTCTCTCTCTCTCTCTCTCTCTCTCTCTCTCTCTNCTCTCTCTCTCTCTCTCTCTCGTTATTGAGTCAACATGATTAGCGCACAATCGAACTACGAACTTCGGATGGCGTCGTTCCTGGTTCGTCGCACAGTGTCGGACGATTGCCAAAGATGTCTGAGTGGGCGAACAGTGTTTCCGGCCAGCCGTGAATCGCGAAACCGTTTCGTTGGAACTTGCTCACTGATTGCGTTTGCATTTAATGTCAGTGTGGCGTTTGTAGGCAGTAACGGGGGTTGCCTCACACAGTGATGATGAGCACTTTGACAGATTAGTCACTTGATGATAGGCACATGACCACCAGGGCAGATAGGTTGTTGTTGTTTTTAAGATTTACTATATCAGAATAACAAAAAAATTCCATCTAGTTTCTTTTTTCGCCCATTCAGAGAGAATGCATTGCAGCATCAACTGTCAATCAGCATAGAGCCCCCCCCGTTCCTCAAAAACAGTTGAAAGTAGCTGTTTTCGGCGACTAACGAGTTCCGCACAAGCGTATTGCACCAGAGAAACAAACAGCATCTGATGGCATCTCTGGCACTGTCAGCAGCGGCACCTCTACACGTACACACTCTCTCTTTTGAATGCAAAAGTCTGCAGACAGAAAAAACTGGTGGCTCCAAATGGCTGCCCGGGCTGCTCAAGTCCCCCGAGTGTCTGCCTCACTGCTGCTGCCAGCACACCGCTCGTGTCCTCAATTGTCAATCGCAATCACTCCAGCACTCCACACAAACACAGTCAGACAGGCAGGCAGACTTAATTTTTACTGATGGAGGTGACATAAGAGTGAAGCTCGTATGTGTGGTCAGCTGTGCTTTGCTTTTTCACTTAGACTTGTGCACTGCTAGAAAGAGAGTGGCAATCAGCAGTCAATCAGCTGCCCTGGCCACAGGACAATGGTAGCAGACTGCTGCCACCTCGACACCGACATGAGAAGACATTGTTGCTAACCCACTTTGACTGCTTTTCTCTCTTTCCTCTAGCTCCTTCTCTGCCTTGTGCTCGAGGATCAGACTCGTGGCCTGCCCTCACTGGCACAATTCACCCGGCAATGAACACACAAACTCGCAGAGACAGACTGTTGCGTGGCATGTAGGCCTCTACTCGGCTGCACTCGGCATCTCCAAAGAAAGAGAAAGAGAGAGAGAAAGGTAAATCCATGTTTGACGCTATGCCAGCAAAAACATTAGGAAAGACAAATTGGTACACTATTAATAGACGACTGGGACGGCTAGGCTCTCAGGACAAGGGGTCGCCAACGTCCCAGGCGACCTCCGCCAGAGCACTACGCAGCAGGAAGTAGATGAGTGCAGCAGAGAGCATCCTCACGACCGATGTGACAATGATGAACACAGTTTGAAGGTGATAATCTGTTGGAGGGTGAGATTAGGGCGAGAGGATGCGCCAAGTCAACAAGTCTAATACAGTAGGCATTGATAGTTACCGGAAAAGCCGTCCTCCACTTCCTGTGAGGTGAAGAGGACATTACTGCAAATGAGATAGTCAATGGCGATGATGAAGAGCATGATAAGGCCCAGCCGACAGAGTTTGGTAGGTCCGCTCTGCTGTAGGGTAAACAGGCGCTGCACTGCCACCATGGACATCAGCAGGAAGTAGGTACAGGAGAGACAGTAGTAGGTGCTGCCGTACAGTGGCTCGAGGGGACCGCTGGCGATGTACGCCTGAAAGCCAAAAGAGAGCCAAAAGGTGAAAATGATAGCGCCCAAAGCAGTATACGTTGAGAGAAGAACTGTCTGCGACAAGCTCACTTCCTGCAGAACTGGCTGATAGTTGGCCACTGGCTGCAACAGATAATCCCCATTGGGTCCTCTCAATTGCGACATTTGAACACAAAGAGAATAATTTTAGCAGCAAAAAATCGTGATTAAACAGAAATGCAAAGTGGTTTAGAAATAAAATTGGTGAACATGGTTTCGGTATATACTCATTCGATAAAAGCAAAAGAATTTGGTAGGACTAATTTAGAATTGTTGTTGGTGTTGTTATTATTGTTGTTTGTCGTTATGCTCAAAAAGTGACTGCGTCGAGGGCCTTCACAGCGGTCTCAATTGATTGCACATGTTGTTCATATCTGGGCTCGGTGACGCCATGCTCGGGACCGCTCCCCAGAGCTTCCACACGAAACTTGTCAAACTCGTCCACGTATTGATCAAAGTTGTCAATACTAGGTGGAAAGCAGTGAGTGTTAAAGTTCTGTGAATCATCGGAAAATGGCATAGTGATGTCCTGAAAGTGTTCGACTAGGTTACTCTGCAACTTCTCCCAAACCGAGTCGAGCTGTGAGCCTATCTCCCGTTCTTTGGCTTCATTTTGAACCAACTTCTCTGCGGCATTGGTAACATCTTCAACGTGCTTTGAAAGAATAGCATTCTCCTCTTCCAGCTCCAGCAGTCGAGCACGAGAATTTCTAAGGTCCACATCGCGCAACTTATTATGATCGAGAAACTCTTCCGTAAAAATTGGCAAATCCATTACTCCAGGTCCGCAATTATCTAGAATCGATGTCATTGTGCTAGTTCCCGGAACAGTGCCTCCATTATTCAGCACACGCTGTCTATTCATATCAGCTATTGAACCTGAAAAAAATGAAAAAAAAGTTAGTAATTAGCAAAAAAGTGGCAACTCAACTGATTGACAACAACCAAAATCAATTTAGAAAATTGGTAAAGCTGCATCCTGATAAAATCTAATCAGCAATTGGCAATATATCTAATTGCTTTCCACATAGGGAAAAACATGTTGTGCCACAAAATCGATCTGTACCGCTGTATTCAATTGAGTGTTGCCAAGCGAGACCAACTCTAAAAGCAGAAATCAATTTCAACGTACCGTTGTTTGGGGCAACGCTCATAGCCTGCATTGACATGCCGTTGTGAGGTGGACAATTGTTTCCGTATTGAAAATGGGTGGCTGAATACTGGCCCGAGCCTGGCATGCCTCCTCCGTACTCCGATGTGCCCGAGGAGTGACTCGACGGCTGATAATACTGCGGCTGATGTTGAGGCTGAAGCTGCTGCTGCTGCTGTTGCTGTGGCTGGTGTTGCTGATGGTGCTGCTGCTGTCCATACAGACCATTTAAGCCTGATGACATGCAGTGCTGTTGCTGCTGCTGCATAGACATTTTGCCTTCATTGTTCATTCCGTAGGGAGAGTATTGCTGGTGGTGATTCGGTTGATGGTGATGCTGCTGCTGCTGATGCTGCTGCTGTTGATGCTGCTGTTGCTGGTGCTGTTGCTGGTGCTGGTGCATCTGTTGCTGGAACATTGCCTGTGCCTGGTATTGATGACTAGGGTGCATGCCCTGTGGCTCGCCATAGTACGCCGACTGTGCCGCCGAGTTGTACATTGAGCCGGTTGGTGGCATTTGCGCCGACGACGACGAAGACGACGACTGAGCCACTGAATTGGAGACAGGCATAGTGTTTGATTGTTGCTGCTTGGCGCGCTGCTTCATACTGAGAAATTCCTGGTACGAGTCGGTCTGATGGTACTCGTACAGCTCCTTTGTGTAGATTTCCTTTGCCTTCTCTGCCTCGTCCAGGTACACTTTCTTCTCCTCTGAGCTCATACTGCTCCATTCAGAGGCAAGTCGCTTCGTCACCTCGGCAAAAGAAAGCTCAGGGTAGTCCTGCTTGATGCGCTCTCGGTTCGCATTGAGGAACCTCACGTAGCCATTCAGCGGCATTCGAGGGGCATTCAGGTCTTTGGTGCGCGGCCCCCGTTTCTTGCGCTCTTCAGGCTGCTTTCGGCGGGTATATTTACGCTTCTGCAGGGAAAACAAAGAAAAGGCTACTGTGAGAAAGGCAAAGTAAGGCGGCTCATCGGTTACATTAGACAAATCGAGACTGTCAGAATCAGAGGAAGATGATTCGGTCATTGTGCCGATGAGATTTACAGCTCTAAATGCGAGGACCAAATGAATTCAGTGCAAGTGAAGCAGAGGCCCATGAACAGAGCTGAGAGGGTGAGGGCGTCTATATACATGGGCAGCCTGCAAATGGGCTCCAGTCAGAGCCACGGCAAACAGTAGTGCCCGTCATAAGCATAAATTACATTTTAAATTGCATTTAAAATTCTCTTCAAAACAAACATTACTGCAAATTGAATAAAGGAAGGCCCAATAAAGCATGCCACGCAATACATCACACACACGCACGCACACGGTATATAGCAGGTGGTAGGCAATTTGCTGCAACGCCGGTGAACGGACGCTCATGGACGCCGGGACGTACAGCTGCTGCTGCTGCTGGTTAGAGTGGGTTTGCGTCTTTGGACAGCCCAAGCACGGCTGGTCGTTGCTCTGATCATTTTTCTGTCTGCTCAGCTCTGCACTGGCCTGGTACGTAGAAAGCTGCTGCTGTATGAAAAGTCGTCAGAAGAAAAGGAGTAGGAGAAGAAAGAGGAAAAGTTGGTGTTCCTATCTCGATAGTGTCCAAAAAGTTGAAAGAATAGGTTGCTGGTAACTAGTCACTGTGCTGTGCTTCTACCCAAACAGAATAATTGAGTCGACAAGAGAAAGAGAGAAAGATAGATTTATGACAAGATTACTCGACTATCAAGGAGAGTACAGGCATGTAGTGAACTGGTTCAGGCGATAATGGCCAAGCGGAGAACAAGGGGGACCGAGGGACTGTCTTCTGGCAGAGATCACTGCAAATATATAGAAAGTGTGTGTTCTCCAGTACTTGCTCTGTACGTGTGTGTGTGTCTCAAAGGGAGCCAAATAATAAAAAGACAAGATGAACTAAATAAAAAGTGAACTTAATGTAAATAAGCTGTTGGCTGCTAGGAAAAATGTATAGATCAGATTGACTTTGCTGCTGCTCCCTTCGCTCAAAACAGAGAGAAACCGACCACGGACGACCGAGTGAAGATGTAGTCCTCTGCCCGCTCTGCCCACTACATACCCGGTCGCCCGTTTCGGGTTTCCCTCCTTTGTCTGATTCCAAGCTAAAAATGAAACAATGGCGATAACAGATTCATTCAGTCATCGGTGCAGGGCAACCGAAGCGGTCGCAGTCGACAAAAAAGTTGCCTTTTGTACGGCCCGTCTGATTATACCAAGAAAAAGCACGCTCATGTGCTCCGAAAAAGTGTTTTCATTTCAGCAATAACAAGCGCACTTAAATGAAAATTAATGAAAAACATATTGATTGAATTTACCTGGCGTTGATCTTGCTGCAGTTGTCCCATTTGCTGTTGTGAAGTCGACATTATCGACATGTCCATGTTGTTGCCTGGCATCATCATCGAACTTCCATTGTGGTAGGCCATGGACGAGGGGCCCTGCATGCCGTACACGTCCTCCTCGGGCAGGTCCTGGCTGTACTCATCGGTGGACATGATTGGTGCTGCCGCGATGTTGATCTTCTCCCGTGTTGGTCCCTGGTCGATGGCGCCCGAGCAAACGGCACACGATTGACTGCAAGCAAACAGAGTGGTGATTACCAAAGTTGTGTCTACACGAGAAGGCCCGACGACGACGGCCTGGTGATTGCTCCTTGCCGTTGTAGTTACCGTAGCGGTGGTGCAGCTGTATCCAGCGAGCAGTCCTGGATCGTTGCTTGGAACGAGAGTCAGCCTGCCAACAGTAGTCTTTCTGTTTGCCAAGCACTGTTTTGAGTGCTCGCTCAAGTTTGCTCTGCCGAGCTGCTTACTTGTGAAGGCTTCGATTTTCCAGCGTAAGCTCGCAAAACTGCTGCTATCTAGTGGACAGCTTCGAAGCTGAGGAGTTCTGGTCAACCTTCAGACTTCGAATATTCTCCGGTGGCTATATACCACCGACTCATCCGGTGGCGAAGTTCATTTAGGCTTCCACCGGTGAAAACAAAACCGAGGGCGTTCATTGGCCCAGACTAATGACTTGCACACTCTCCACAGGTCGATTCTCAACGATTTTTTGGTTTTATTCATTATTTATTTGTGGCACGCTAACCGCCGCAGCGGCTGAAAGACCGCTCTTCACATTGGCGCAATACAGAAAGAAAGAAAGAAAGAAAGAAGGTATTTTCTCATTGTCGTTAATAGTTGAGAGTGTAGACGACAGTAGAGAAAAAGAAAAATGATGAATAGTTAAACAAATGATGACAAACGACTGACAGAAAAGTGCCAGAAAAAACTGTTACTGTGACTGAAAAAGAGAGAATTTCAAATACACGATGATGACAAGGGCACCAAGCTGACTTGTACAAATGGTCAAAAGGAAGGGATGGGGAGAGGGAGAATAACAACAAAATACAAATGCGAAGAAATGCCTTTGAGCTAGTGAAACAGCGAAGAATCGATGATGTTGGTGATGATGATGATGATTTGTTTGTCTGAGTGCAAAGGTCCAACACTTCTTCACATGATGATTTGCTTGAAGCTCTCTACAGGCGATGTAAAAACGACCTGCTTAAGACTATTTATGCTTGCAAACAGCGGGCAAAAAGCAGAGGAAGAGATGTCCAAGGAGATCTCAGAAAAGAGGGTGGTGATGCACTGTTCAGTGCTGTACTTCTCCGACTACTGCAGGTCATCACGGAACATGTAGGTAATCCAGTAGACGCAGTTGAAGAGTCCAAACATGAAGGGAAAGAAGATGCGCGAGACGACGTCAATTCGCTTCGATCTGGTGGGGAACTTGGACAACCATCGCTTGCACCAGTTCTTCTTCCGCGGTGGCGCCATGTGCACCTCACAGCCGCGCTGCAACAAAAGAGAGAAAACAGCTGATTAGAAGGCAGCTCTTTTTGTCAAGAACCTCTACTAATTTTACCATTCCGTAGGGCAGCTCAACGCCGTTTGCGCCGCTCTCGGAGTGCAACGCCTGCTCCAGGTTCCACTTGGCGAGTCGCTGCTGCTGCTGCTTGGCCGCTGCCTGGTGAACGTCACTGCGAGAGGCGTAGTTGACCAGAGCAAACTCGAGCAGGGCGCCAAAGACAAAGGTCAGACAGACGCCCGTCCACACGTCAATGGCTTTGGTGTAGCTGACGGGTGGCTGGGAGGCGTTGATGCCGGAGATTTGCGTCGCCATGGAGAGCAGCGTCGTCACGCCCAGTGATACTCGGGCGACGGTGGCGTTCGGATCGAGCCAGAAGGAGACCCAACTGACGAAGATCAACATGGCACACGGAATGTAGATTTGAATTAGGTAGTAGCTGAACTCGCGCTTGAAGAGCAGCTCCACCTTTAGGCAGCTGTACTCGCCTGGAAGATTAATTAAAGGAAAAAGTTAGAAAGTTTTTTGGTTTGCCGTGTTCTAACTTATTACCAGTGTTTGTTCTGCTTGTGCAGATTCGCGTCTTGAAGTCTTGTAGGGTGAATCGAGGCAGGTTGATGTCTTTGGCCACCTGAACAGGGTCCTTGCTTTTCCAGGTGAAAATTAGATCATCTGATGTGTATCCATCTGCAACAAAGTAAACATATTATTGTTTTGTTCAAGTTTTTAGGTCAGCTTAAATTGCTTACAACTAGCCATTTGCAGTTCACAAGTCTGTCGATCGAGCGGGTAGTACTTTAGGTCCATCGGACAGGCAAGTGTGAGTGAGAGGCGAATGGAGTAGAGGACATCGCCATTTGGGTAGATTCGCAGCAGAATATTCGGCATGATTATCGTGTGGTAGTGGCCATCCTTTTCATTCTTGAAGAACAGATCGGGCTTCCAGATACGTTCTGGGTCGGTGAGAACGAGGTAGTTGATGCGACCGCTTCGGTTGTCAAACTGCAGCCGATTATCGTTCCACTGCTGACGAAAGGTGATCTGGCAGGCGTATTCCTGTGGAGATCAGAAGGAGAACCTTTGTTAAAACTGAAGTGAACTGAATTTGTAACACACTGCCAAACAATTATTGTCTTAATCCTTTGCCACCCAAAGTATCGGTGACCATCATATTGAGTGTAACGACATCATTCGCCTTGATCTATCCTCCCTCCTCAGTATTTTCTTTCTTTCTCCCACTCTCTCCCAAGGCTGCCTCGTATCAACTGCGCATTTCGCACTGAACAACAATACTGTGGCGCTCAGCAGGTCACCACATCACTTTACTTCACTCACTCTGTTCATTGTTCCTATCTGTGTCTGGGTAAGTAAATGATCAATCGCATCGAAAGTATCATGTGTTAGAACATGGATGGATGTATGCCGGCAAAGAGGTCGTCGCCGTTACCTGTGCCTTCCCTTCGCAGACAGCTCAAGTCGGTCGTCAACGGCAGGCTTAGAGGGGAGAGTGACACCACACTCTGCTCAATGACAGCGGGCATTCTTTCCTCTTTTCTTCTCTTTCCCTCTCACTGGTGTTTCATCAGATGATCATCTGCCATCAGTCGATACAGCTTTCACTATGGCCAGCTCCTGATCCCAGCGTCTCTGAAGTAATGGGCAATTGTTGCTAATAGATTCGTCGATGAATGTGCCATCATCACTGCATCATGTACGTCAGTATCGTCTTCAATATTGTTTTTGTTTTTGTTTTGTGCCGATACATGCTTGCTGCATGTAAATGTGCTTGATTTTGCAGTTCGTTTACACCAATAAAATTGACTGCGATTTAAATGAATTCTATCAACAGTTCGACAAGCAGTTGACTTCTAAAATGATCCACAACTACCTGTCAGTTTATCAAGTTGGCAAGCTGGTGTCAGAAGAGCGCCCTTAGCAGCAGTCAACAGGAGAATAGAAGAGACTTGCACCCAGTCCAGTACTTATAGTCCAGTGGCCCCTTGGCGCCACAACCTGTGCTGATCAGATCATACTAATTACCGTAATTATCACTAATTAGTGCTTTTTATTTGTGATGGCGCCAAAAGTGAGCACGTCAAAAGTCAATTTCTATCATGCTGAGTGTGCCTGTGTCATGACATGCTGACGGCCACCGGTTCTAATTTGCACTGGCCAATTGCACACACAAGCATTGCTGACCTTAACGGCACATTTTAATTCCTCTCTCCCTCTCTTTCTGATTGAACTGCCAATGATTTAATTGCGAAATGCATCATCTCCTCCTCCTCCTGTTTTATCAGTTTGAACATATTTATTGAGGAAACTGTTATTGTAAAGCGTACTGATCTAAGGACAGCCTCATGTCGATTGCCATAATTTCAATTACACATCAGCATTAGTGCTGTTACTGTTTCCATTTGTGGAATGATTGCAAACTGTTGAAAAAACTTTTTCTCTCCTACTGTAGTACACTATTTGGTTTTTTTCTTATTTGTCTAGCACTACTTATAAATTATAGTTTTTGAACAGGTTTGAAATCGGGCAAAATAAAACAAATTGACTGGGCAGTACGATTCTCTAAGCTCGTGCAGCATCGCCAGCAAATCGTGGATGGCAATCGATTAGGCAGAACATGTATAGACATTAAATTAAAGTACAGTTTTGATTTGCCTGAAACGGTGATTGAGTTTGCCACCGCTGCTGTTTATTGGATTTAAGATCACACACACTCTGCTTCAGTGAATGCAATAAAAGTCCTTTTTTGCAAGCCGACAGAAAGGAAGTTTACATGTTTTGCTCACACTGTCCACCCACCACTTGCTTGAACTAATCTTGCTCTGTTATGTGGTGGGAAATCGATTTAACTGATCACTGAAAGATGCGGCACGAGACAGACAGACAGTAGACAGCAAAGCCAAACAGTCGGTGTACACTGTGTTTGTTGCGATAATTGCGGCAACCCGTGAGTGGTCAATTAGAGCAGCCCAGCTCGGACACGGCTGGTAAACTGATCGAGTGCTGCTGCTGCAGCTTGAAGCTCACCTCAATAGCTCGATGTCTTTATTGGCCAATCAATTTATTAGCGCAAGCACACACTCACACTGTACCATCGACACGGGCATTACTACGGCTGATTGGAAAGCTGTAAATGGGATAGCCGTACTTTGAATAGCCGCTCTGCCGTACAATTCAATTAGAAACGAATGGACACGCTTTAACACTAAACACTGAAAGTAGTTATTAGCGGATAAGATATTAGAAAAGGTAAAATTGACGTTGCTGAGATGAGAAACTTCTCTTCAAGATTATCCACTGATGGCCACTGACCATACATGTCTGATTTCGGACTGTTGTGTTGTTTGCCATTTCTTTATAATCAAAATCTTTCTCATTTTTGTCGCTCTCTCTCTCTCTCTCTCTCTCTCTCTCTCTCTCTCTCTCTCTCTCTCTCTCTCTCTCTCTCTCTCTCTCTCTCTCTNGTACACTTCAATTTGTCTCGGCATTTAGTCTCTTTTTCTCTGCCTGCGCGCACATGTCAAAACTGTGCAAACATTCTCCGGATGAGTACTCTTGTCACCGGTGGAAAGCCTCATGTCATCTCTTTCGTCATGTTTTTCTCTTTTTTCACTTTTCACAGTGAGCAACTGTCATTCAACGGGCTACACGACCTTAACGTAAGCACATGATTTTGATGTTCCATCAGATTGACAATCACAGCAACACCAACACTACCAATTGCTGCGTAAAATGGCAGCATTTTCTCTCTGTTTCCCTCATCTTTATGTCAAATCTACTACCCTAAACATGGTCAGTAAAAAAGCAGTAAAAATGGTCGGCATTGGTATTTTATCGTTTGACCAGTGGACTTTTATATTTGGAAGATCGTAGTGCTGGACTGCAGAGCGAACAGTTGTAAAATGGAGGATGTTGGTCGCTCCTTGACAGGAACTGCGCAACATGTTATTGCTCATGTTCTCAATCTTTTTCCAATAACAAAACAGTATGTGTCTTTTGTTGAACGATGAAATGTTTCTCCTGCTCTGCACTCGACCTTTTGTGGCAAATGTGAGCGCAGAGCACGTTTGCATGCCGCTGTTTATGGCCGCATCTTATTACCGCATCTTCGGTGCAAGTCATCGATCGAATCAGTTCTCAACATCTATTGGCCATATTTGCCTGTCACTACTGCAACTGAATAAGCAACGAGAGGGTCAACTCTGATCAGACATGGTGCACGTAATTATCAATTGCAGTGTCAATCATTACTGGAGCAAGGTTGACGGACGGGGCAGATAAGGGGGAAGGTGCAGTGAGGGGGGGGGGCTGAAATGAATGCCACTGAAGACTGTCTACTACACCGGGCGTCAGCCCGGTGCAAAGTTCAAGATACCTGCGAGATTTTTGGCATAGATATTCAAGAAATATAGTGTGATTTTTTGAA